GGCCGGCGCTTGAGTCCTGGTGGCCAACCAAAGGTGTACATTTTCAGCTGACCTCTTTGGCAAGTAAACACAATCATTTTGTTTGTTTACAACGAATGTTTTCTCATCGGAAAGAAGCAAATTCGGCAGTTGACCACGTTCGGCCAAGCGAAGCAACTCTTTAGCTCTTTTGAGTCTAGTTTCTTTTCTGTTGCGGTGTATGTTCTTGCACTTTTTGGAATTTCAATAGCTTTACCCCGAGCTCATTTTTCAATATTTGCCGAATGGAATAATGCGATATGTTCAGCTCACGAGCCATTTGTCAGCCACTGCGACGTGGGTTTCGACCACGTCGCTTCTTTACTTTTTGAACCATTTCTGCTGATTTTGCTGTTTACTTCCGTCCACTTCCTTGACGTCGGCCTACGCTACCGTATTACGGTGGAGAGCGATGAGAGGAAACACAAAAGATTTATTCACATTTAAATGCTAGAGTGCTCTAATGATAGCCACTTGTGGTTTTCCAGCCAAATATAAAGAAATCACACTATCACGCTTGAATTCCATCACGAATAATTTTTTTTCTGGAAAACTCTCACCAAAATGCTTTTGTACGCTTGTAAACAATATGATGAGCTGTCACGGGAATAATTTTAACAGCTGTCGGACGAGTAGCTTAGAAATGACAGCAGTCTGAAATTGGTTGCAGTTTTTATCTCACCCTTTATGTACATCGGTGCCTTTACTAAACCAATTTGGTTCAAGCGTTGCAGATTTTAGTCTTTGTAGTCGAAACTTAATCGTATAATCAACCTAATTGGATAAATGTTGTGTTCTATGTTTGGGCTTTATCGAAATCCGAACCGGCCAAAATTTAGCAAAGGGATTTTTAACCGTTTTTTTATGTCTAGTACCGAATATCAATGTTATAGAGTGCGTATTTAGCGTTTTTGAGAATTAAACGCCAAATCGGATGAAACAAATATGTATTTGGGAGCTGTAGTATTATTAAACCGATTTTCACAAAATTTGGCATACTGGATTCTAGGGTGAATTCGGTGGAATGTGTGAAAATCAATTTATACACAACCCCTATACCATGCGTGTTTTAGTTTTTATAGCCTCCACTACAGTACGGAGGGTATATTAAGCTTGTCGTTTCGTCTATAAAACCTCGAAACATTAATTTTAGACCCCAGAAAGTATATATAATCTTGATCAGCATTAAATTCTATGTTGATTTAGCGATGTTCGTCCGTCTGTTACAACCTCTCTAGCTTCCATAGGAAATGATCAAATTTTACTCAGATGTATTATATTGGTATTTAAAATTGGCCAAATAGGTCCACGTTTTAGTACATATAAATAACTGTACCGCCAGGTTTATGGTGTTTCGGTTGTTTAATAGCAATGAATTGGCTTTAAATTGGCAGTTTGTGTTCCAAGCATATACACAAAGTCCTTGCATAGAAATGTTTACATAGCTCCACGTTGTAGTATCATATCAATAGGGGTCCGCTATAATTGAACCTCCAGATATTCGGTATTACGAGGCCGGTTCGGAAACTTCTTAGCCTATCAATGAAAGAGAATAGTTAGTTTTTCAAAAAATATTTTTATACCCTCCACCAAAAAAAGTATGGAGGGTATATTAAGTTCGTCATTCCGTTTCTAACTCATCGAAATAATCATTTTAGACCCAACAAAGTATATATATTCTTGATCAGCGTAAAATTCTAAGACGATTTAGCCCTGTCCGTCCGTCTGTCCGTTTGTCCGTCTGTTGTAATCACGCTACTGTCTAAACGAATTAAGATAGGAAGCTAAAATTTTGCACAGATCTCTCTTTTGTCTGCAGGCAGATCAAGTTCGAAGATGGGCTATATCGGTCCACGATATCGTATAGCCCCCATATAACGGTACCCCCGATATTCGGTATTTTGATGATTTTAGCCACATTTTTCAGTGCAATTGTCTGAAAATCCACACAAGCAGTTCCTTGTGGGTACTTTATACCTCGGCAGAGAATTATCTATATAGGTCCACAATACCATATAGCCCCCATATAACGGTACCCCCACGGTATTCGGTATTTTGATGATTTTAGTCACATTTTTCAATGGAATTGTCTGAAATTCCACAAAAGGAGTCCCTTGTGGACATTTTACCCCCTCAAAAAGAATTGTCTATATAGGTCCACGATATCGTATATCCCCCATATAACTGTACCCCCCGATATTCGGTATTTTAATGATGTTAGCCACATTTTTCAATGGAATTGTCTTAAAATCCACACAAGTAGTTCCTTGTGAGTACTTTACCCCCTGAGAGAGAATTGTCTATACAGGTCCATGATATCGTATATCCTCCATATAACGGTACCCCCCGATATTCGGCAATTTGATGATTTTACCCACATTATTCATCGGAATTGTCTGAAAATCCACACGAGGAGTTCCTTGTGGGTACTTTATACCTCGGCAGAGAATTATCTATATAGGTCCACCATATCGTATAGCGCCCATATAACGGTACCCCCGATATTTGGTATTTTGATGATTTTATCCACATTTTTCAATGGAATTGTCTGAAATTCCACAAAAGGAGTCCCTTGTGGGCATTTTACCCCCTCAAAAGGAATTGTCTATATATGTCTACGACATACTATATCACCCATATAACGGTACTTCTTGATCAGCTTAAAATTCTAAGTCGATTTAGCGATGTCCGTCTGTCCGCCTGTCTGTCTGTTGTAATCACGCTATCTTTCGAACGAATTGAGATACAGGGCTAACATTTTGCACACATGTTTATTTTTACAGTAGGTTAAGTTCGTAAATGGGCCATGTAGGTCCACGTTTTGATATATCCCCCATATAACGGTACCTCGCTATATTCGGTATTTTGATGATTTTAGCGACATTATTGACCGGAATTGTTTCAAATTTGGTATTTGAAGTTCGAAATGGATACTACAGCCTAAGACAGAAAATTACCTGTGCAGGTCCACGTCTTCGTATGGCCCCCATATAACGGTACCTCCCTATATTCGGTATTTTGGTGATTTTAGCGTCTTTATTCACCAACATTTTTTCAAATTACGCATTTAGAGTTCGTAATGGAAACTTCAGTCTGTGACAGAAAATAGTCTATGCAGGTCCAGGTCTTCGTATAGGCTCCATATACCAGTACCACCCTATATTCGTTATTTTGATGAGTTTAGGTACAATACTCACCGAAATTGTTTGAAATGTCTTATTTGAAGTTCGTAATGGATGCTACAGCCTATGACAAAAAATTGTCTACGCAGGTTCATGTCTTCGCACAGCTCCGATATAACTGTACCTTCCTATATTCTATAATTTGATGATTTTAGCTACATTATTCACCGTTTATTTCAATTTCCGAATTTGAATTTGGTAATGACTTATGACAAATAATGCCTGTGTGGGTCCACGTCGTATAGGCACCAATATAACGGCAAAATTCGGTATTTTTAACAAAGTTTTTTTCAGGATTTTTTTTCCAAATTCGTTCCAAATGGTGGAGGGTATTCAAAGTTCGGCCCGGCCGAACTTACTGCTTTTTAACTTGTTACTATTGCATATGAAGAAGCACTTTCACATAACTTATTCACCATTTTATTATAAATTTCTTGTCCCGATAAACCTTTTTTATGTAAATATTTAATGGCAGCACGCATTTCTAATTCTTCCATTGTAAAAAAATTGCAGATGCGTCTTTGTTGGATCAGGTGTTCTATATGAAGGAGTTGCCACATCGAAACAAAATTTAATATATGTAAGCAGCTGCTGGGACAATGAACTTTAAAGCCGATTTTAGAATTGGAACAATTATTGCAATTTTTAAAAATTGTTGAAAAATACATATCATAGCGACCTATAATGTGCGTCGTATAAGAAAACATACAAAAATCTACTTATTTTTGACAAAATATTTGAAAAATTGTGGCATATGAATGTTCCCAAGCATTGATGGATTTACTATTTTTCTACCATGGATGGATATTTCCAAAACACTTAACTTTTTCTGATTATATCGCGCTTTTTGTGCTAGTCTAAGAAGTTTCCGAACTGCCCTCGTATTATGATTTGTGTTATACTTTTCACGGGAATTGTTTCAAATTTGATATTTGGAGTTCGTGATGAATACTAAATCCTATGACAGAAAATAGCCCATAAAAATTCACGTTTTCGAAGAGGACTCATATATATGTGCCTCCCAATATTCCCTACATTGATGATTTAAGCTGCGTTTTTCGACAGAATTATCTAATTATTTTTGGAGTTGGCAATAGGCTTCACCTTCCCTGGCAGATAATAGACTGTAGAGGTCCACGTTTTCACAGAGCCCCATATAAGCCCCATGTCGATATTTAAAATTATTAAAGCGGAGTTTTTAACGGATGTTCTTCACATTTTGCAAATTCCTTCCAAATGGTAGAGGGTATTAAAAGTTCGGTCCGGCTGAACTTAACCGCTGTTTACATGATATTCTTCGATTCACCCTCTGCAATAAACTCTTGTTGTAAATATTGAAACTATAGATATATCTCGATTGCTTTTTCATGTTACAAACAAATAGCCAAAGAAGTAATACCCTTTACCACACTGTAGTGTTGAGTATAAAAACATTGTTTTCAAGTATTGAGTATACCAAATATTTAGCATGAATCTCTTCTTGTTAATTCAGGGACTACATATCTCACATACTGTTCCCACCCCTTTAAATGATGACGTCTACGCGTGTTTATCTAACGCGCCATAAACTTCTTTGGTATTGACATTTTCCCCGTTTGGGCCAAGTCAATAACATAAAACTGTGTGATGGGATTTCTTGTTATCAAATATTGACTCGAAGTTTATAGCCTGCAAAGACAGATGTGCTGCAATTGACACAATTCTGTGGAGGTAGTGGCATCCCGCAGCCTCAGGATGCTGAAAACGGGATGATATAAAATGCAATGATTTCCTGAGGCAAGATATCAGTCATCCGATTAATATCGAACAGTTAAAACGAAAAAAATACTCTACGTTGAATATGGCTAATATAAATGGTTTAATTTGTTGTCTGATGTGCCTTGAATTGTTTCTATGCATTTTCGCAGCTGCTTTGCCTGCCCAAGAGGATGAGCGTTATTTTGAAAAACAGGTGATAATCTGTTAATACACAAATTTGAAAATTTTCCTTTATTGATGACTAACTTTTTCTTGCCTCCGTACACAGCTAAATCGAGAATTGCTCAACAATTGGTTGTCATCGGCACGAGGCGTTCAAGCCATCAATAATCCCTGCCGTTATTATCCGGACAACACTTGGTCTGCGGCCATGCCTAAAAGGAATTCTGAATTAATAAATTCACTTCTAAGTTTACCCAAGAGTATGAACGATGCTGGAAAGTCGATAATATTTGAAATAAAAAATATTCCCCATCCCCCAAATCGAGCACACAAGCATTTCCTCTAAACAACTGAGTTGCAAATTTCATAGAAAAAAAAAATAAAAATTAACATAAATTGAAAGTAAAACAATTTTCCATGCCGATAATTGCTGCAAAACGAAACGCTAACAAGTTGTAATTATTAATCGGAATTTATGTGTAATTGTAAATGTAAATTGATTTAATTTCGCCCTTTAATTGAGGCCTAAATTGTTGGCTGTAGGTCCTAATTGTTGTGTAAAGAATGAATAAAATGATATAAAATAAAACGAAACGAAACAACAACAAATAAATGTAAACGGAAAACATTAGTTAGTCCTTGCGAACTTCAGTTACCCGTGTTCAATAGATTCCATTGATACACTGACAAAATGAACTAGTCTTTCGTTTCTTCTAAGGATCTTTGTTATTTAAGATAATATTTATTCCGAAGTGAATAAATGAATTAGGATGACATGAAACTACGTTTATATTGGAAATTTGGTGCGAATGCCTTAAATTTGAAATTGTATTGAACTAATATAGAAAAAGGAAGGCATTTTTATGAGGAATATGACCTCTGACACTAAATATCATTGATATGGAGTACATATTATGACAATAGGATGGCTCAAGTAAGAAATCCTATAAGTCCAGCTCATCAATCAGCTATGGCTTGTTCTGGTCAGCTATGCCTTGTTTATTCGAAACTTGGTCGCATATATGGAAAAATGAAGCACTATTGGTGTATCATTTAATCAAATCAAAACCAGTAAAGAAAGTCTTAAAAGTCGGGCGACGATGATACCCTACACCACTTTGCATATTTAGTAGAGCTTCGTATAAAAATAAACGTTTTTTATGGGGAATTTGTGAGCATTAAATCATACCAACTATAATTATAGTTATAATTTAAATTCCAAATTAACTAATATATGAGAGGACTATCCTCCTCTGAATCGATTTCTACTAAATTCACCGAGGCATCTGTGACTTTTCAATTCGGGCTCATATTACCTATTTGGCACACAATTAACTTAAAATCGGATAATGATATAAATGGGAGCTATATCCAAATCTGAACCGATCTCGATAAAATTTTTACAAAGATATTTCTGAGCTGTATTTGATATATATCCCCGAATATCTTTGTTTCGAAGTGCATATTACAGTTGTGAAGAACAAATATAACAAATCGGATAAACAATATTCAGGGTGAGATAAAAAAAAATACATTAAAGTCAAACGCCATAAGTTTTACATTTTTTGTATTTTTTTTAATGAAAGCAAAAAATTTTTTAAATGAAAGCCAAAAATGTCGAAAATAGCATTAAATTTTAGAATTAGTTTAGATTTGTTTCAATTGGTCACCTTTGGCACAAATTATGGCCTTCAAACAGCCAATGAAATCGTCACACGCTGCCCGAATGTTGTTCTGCGGTAATTTGGCCCATTCCTGGCAAAGCGCTTTCTTGAGGTGGTCGACACTTTGGTATTTTTTAGTGCCAACCTTGCTTTCCAAAGTACTCCTGACACAATAGTCCAACGGATTGGTATCCGGAGATTTTGGTGGCCATTGTGCGCTGGAAATGCGAGAAACCTTGTTTTGTACCCATTATTGGGTGGCGCGTGCTGAGTGCGATGGTGCTAAATCCTATAAAATTTGACCTTGGGCCAAAATGATTGTGTGCCCAAGACTTTAATACACCCTCCAGAATATTTTCGCGATAATATTCGACATTTATTCTGATGCCATCGGTTGTTACGGCGGCCCACACCATCACCATGGCCGGTGGTGGTGGCTAAACGAGTTCTGGTGGCCAAACGAAGGTGCACATTATCAGCTGCCCTCTTTGGCAAGTAAACACGATCATTTTGTTTGTTTACAAACTGCTTGTGACCTGTAGAGCGACTGCAAAATCAGAAAAATATTGTTTTTTTTTGGTCCATTTCAACACCTAAATGTTCATCTTCAAAACAATGAGATTTAATTCTGGGCCTACCTCCATGCAACATTTCGTAAGGATCGGAGATCCTCAATTAGACCAGAACTTATAGATTTGGATATAGCTCTAGCATATATAGCTTTACCCGAATTCTCGTTTATTGCGAATGTCTATACATCTACATCTTTTTAAGTCCCCATTAGCAATCCTTATTTCAAAATTTTGAACTGTAGCCCAATACACTGGATTACCTTTTAGTCGAATTGTAGTTCGAATTTTCAATAACACAGCCTTTTCTCACCCCTTTGCACCATTTCCCATAAATTACATATTTACATATATCAGATTTCTGGTTAAGGGAAATATTTGGATACAGCAAGTTGTAAAGAATCGCGGACTTATTTTGAAAATTATTACATATATAAGTATTGGAAATTGTGACCCTTTGTGGGCGAGTTACCAGAAGGGGTTGGCTGATGTATATCATCTTCACAACAAATCTTGCGTTAGCAAAAAGGTTTGCATGTGTTATTTTCGATTTTCATGAGCTTCGTGCTTTTTGAACCTTCATCTTCACACCAGACATTGGTATAATAAAAATATTGTGATGTGTGTATTTTGATGAGAATCAGATGATTTTTTCGGATTTTATGATCGTTTTGATTATTCCAAACTTCGACCCTTTGCGGGATATGTACCAGAAGAAATGGTCCGGTCTCTACCATCTTTATAACAGAACTTGTGTTGTTGTGTGTGTGATTTGAAGACAATCGGACACTTACATCACATTTTATAAGAGTCATAATTATTCAAAATGTTGACCCATTTTAGGGTGAGAGAGTAAAACGATATTGTACATTTTCGCACCTGACCTAGCGCTGATATAAAATTGGATTATTCTTTCTCTTTCTGTTCAGTAAAATATTTTTTTGAAAATTTCAACCTTTTGTAGGAAGGATCAGAAGGAATGGATATCTCTGAACTCGATCTAAGCTTGGCAATAATATTACTATGAATAAAGTTTTGATCAAATCGGATACTCCCTTCGAAAGTTATAGTGCGCACTAGCCTAACTGAAAGACATCGCTAGATCGACTCCAAATGTCCGGAAACGCATTTAGTCCCAAGAGACCTAGGGCCTAAAACCGTTATTTCGATGAGGCACTTTTTGGCCGTATTAAATTATAAATACCCTCTGTAGCCATATGGCTATGGGTATAAAAAACTAAATTAAAACGAATGCATTTAAACACGATTAAAGGCTGTAAAGGTGTGTTTATTACTAGTCCCCTTAAAGAACATATATTTTTCCATGTTTATATTAAATAAATTGAAACTTTTTCAAACATTCTGCCCCGAATGGATGTGCGAATAACCAATACCAACACTGTATATACGATTTAGAAAAAAAGTTCCGAAAGAATGAATTGCATTTTATTTTTTTTTTTTAAACCAGCACTTATTTTAATCGTATAATGTCCACCCTCCGAATACTTTCGAATTCACGTTTTCACAGTGTATCAGCAAAAACAAAAGTACTCAGCAAACGGTTGTGTAGTAACTGTTCGCTAATAGCTGTTCTTTTCATTTCACAAAAAACTTTAGTTTGTTACAAAAACAAAAAAAAAAAACAAAAAAAAACTAATGGATGTTGCATGAATTTAGAAATTCAGCTTTTAATTTTTGGAAACAATCATCATAAGCTGCATCATAATCATCGAAATCTACAAACAAGTCTAAATAAGTGGCGAAATGAAATGGGAAAACACAAAAAAAAGAAAATAGTCGTTGTTGGTATGGCATCTGTTTTCTCAATCCACTTCTAAGCAGTTGGACTGAATTACAGCTCATTTTCAATTTTTCATCTATGCAGGCAAGCGGGGAAGGAAGGAAGGTCATCTGGTCTTTCCATTAACAACGAATGAATGGCTTTCTCTGGAGCCATGGCTAAAATAACTGAAAATTTGTGCAACTGTGAACATGACTCATGTAGCTACAGCGCCCGACAAAAACTTATCGTCCAAAGAGAAATTTAATTAAGTCAACGTAAGTGTTAACTGAGTTTTCATTTAATTATCAACTAAATCCGTAGCTCTGTTTGTTGAAATCAACATAGATGCCTCATTTTAATGTATAAAGCTTTGAAATGTAGCTGAGAAGTTTGTGTTGCGTCTGGGATGATTGATATTGAAAAAAAACTATAACAGTCCACAGTCCACCTGGAAGTTCGTTTTTCTGGTAGTAATTTTTGATATTATTTTTTTTATACCCTCCACCATACTATGGAGGGTATATTAACTTTGTCATTCCGTTTGTAACTCCTCGAAATACTCATGTCAGACCCAACAAAGTATATATATTCTTGATCAGCGTAAAATTCTAAGTCGATTTAGCGATGTCCGTCTGTCTGTTGTAATCACGCTATCTTTCGAATGAATTGAGATAGATGGCTAAAATTTTGCACACATGTTTATTTTTCCAGTAGGCAGGTTAAGTTCGTAAATGGGCCATGTAGGTCCACGTTTTCATATAGCCCCCATATAACGGTACCTCCCTATATTCGGTATTTTGATGATTTTAACGACATTATTCACGGGAATTGTTTCAAATTTGGTATTTGAAATTCGTTATAAGAACTACAGTCTGTGACAGAAAATTGTCTGTACGGGTCTAGGTCTTCGTATAGGCCCCGTATATCAGTACCTCCCTATAATCGGTATTTTGATGATTTTAGCGACATAATTCACCGGAATTGTTTCAAAATTGGTATTTGAAGTTCGTAATGAATACTACAGTCTGTGACAGAAAATTGTCTGTGCGGGTCCAGGTCTTCGTATAGGCCCCATATATCAGTACCTCCCCATATTCGGTATTTTGACGATTTTAGGTACAATACCCACCGAAATTGTTTGAAATGTGGTATTTGAAGTTCGTAATGGATGCTACAGCCTGTGACAGAAAACTGTCTATGCTGGTCCAGGTCTTTGCACAGCTCCAATTTAACGGCACCTCCTTATATACGATATTTTGATGATTTTAGCTACATTATTTACCGTTTATTTCAAGTTTCCAATTTGAATATGGTAATGGCTTATGACAAACAATGCCTATGTATGTCCACGTCGTATACACCCCAATATGACGGCTATATTCGGTATTTTTAAAATTTTAACAGAATTTTTTAAGGATTTTATTTTTTAAAAATTTCCAAATTCGTTGCAAATGGTGGAGGGTATTAAAAGTTCGGCCCGGCCGAACTTAGTGACTTGTTCATATTTAATCTTGTCGGCTATAATTTGATATTTCCAATTTAGCACACAAGTTCTCCAAAAAGTCTTGTAAATCTATTAAACTCGCCCTTAGCTGTACGTCCGGACTTTTTGCATTTTAAAAGTTCTATTACAGGTCTCTATGGATAACATAAATTCAATTTAATTTAAAAATAGACTAAAGTTTTGACATAGTTATCATTTAAGTTTGAAGGCCAATTATTGTGTTTTGAAAAGCCTAATCGTATTTTCAATTCAATAAAATACTCAATATTAGTCCCTTTTAAGAGCAGCTTATATTGTAGGGTTTTTGGCCCTAATTTTCCAACAGATTTCTATTAAAATTAAGTTTTTCCATGGTGATCTATCTGTTGGTAAATGGTGATATATATATGTTTGAACACCAACTTTGTATTATCGTGCTGAACAACTCATTTCAAGGTATCTAATCCTACTAGCTCTTAAGTTACCAGTAAGGTAAAAAAAAAAAAACAGAAAATAGGTTATTTTACTGAGTAAACAAGTACCGAGAAACTGTGGCACACACACCAAGTAGAACATCCTTAAGGTTAGGGTTCGAATTGGCATCGTCATATTGTAAAGAAACATTGATGGTAACAAATCCATACCCTATAAGACTTATTTTCATACCCTATATATTTACTTTATCATTCCGTTTTTAATTCCTCAAAATACTAGTGTTAGAACCCTTATAGATCATTAAATATAGGGTGAAATAAAAAACTGCAACAAAGTTAAATCCTATAATTTTTACATTTTTTTTTTTTTATGACAGCAAAAAATGTTGGAAATAGCATCAAATTTTAGAATAAATTTAGATTTGTTCGAATTGGTCACCTTTGGCACGAATTATGGCATTTAAATGGCCAATAAAGCCGTCACACGCTGCCCGAATGTTTCTCTCTATTTTGGCCCATTCCCGGCGAAGCGTTTGCTAGAGGTGATCGACACTTTGGTATTTTTTAGTGCCAACATTGCTTTCCAAAATACTCCAGACACAACAGTCCAACGGATTGGTATCCGGAGATTTTGGTGACCATTGTGCGCTGGAAATGAAGCGAGGAACCTTGTTTTGTAACCATTCTTGGGAAGGGCGTGCTGAGTACGATCGTGCTGAGTCCTGTTGGAATGTCCAAGGTCTGCGGCAAAAATGTTTGTGTGCCCAAGGCTTTAATACGCCCTCCAGAATATTGTAACGATAATAGTCAGCATTTATTCTGATGCTACGGTCGATTAATACGAGCGGATAGCGATCATCGGCCCACACCATGGCCGGCGCTTGGCAAGTAAACACGATCATTTTGTTTGTTTATAATCTGCTGGACAACGAATGTTTTCCCATCGGAGAAAACCAAATTCGGCAGTTCACCACTTTCGGCAAAGCGAATTACTCTTTAGCTCTTTTGAGTCTATTTTCTTTCTGTTGCGGTGTAAGTTCTTGCACTTTTTGCAATTTTGATGGCTTCACCCCGAGCTCATTTTTTCAATATTTGCCGAATGGAATATTGCGATATGTTCAGCTCGCGAGCCATTTTTCGGCCACTGCGAAGCGGGTTTCGATCAATTCGCTTCTTTACTTTTCGAACCATTTCGGCTGATGTTGCTGTTTTCTTCCATCCACTTCCTTGACGTCGGGCTATGCTACCAGTATCTCGGTAACGAGCGCTGTTACGAGAAACAAAAGATTTATTCACATTTAAATGCTGGAGTGCTCTAACGATAGCCACTTTTGGTGTTCCAGCCAAATATAAAGAAATCACACTATCACGCTTGAATTCTATCACAAATAACTTTTTTCTGGAAAATTTTCACCAAAATGCTTTTGTTCGCTTTTAAACAATATAATAAGCTGTCACTGGAATAATTTTCTTGCTGTGACAAAAGTCGTGAAAATGCCGAATTCCGGGAAGTATAGTTACATGATGGCTATTCATAGATGTCAAAGTGCTTTTGCAATTTTCTGCCATAGAAGGTAATACCCACCACGAACACCAAATATCAAATTTGAAATAAATCCGGTAAAAAGTGTGACACTAATCACAAAAATGCCTAAGGTACAGTTATATGGAGACTATGCCAAAACTTGGACCTACACAGACAGTTCTCTGCAAAATTGTGACTAAAACCCCCAAAAGACTATAACAAAACGTAGACCAATAATGCCCTTGTTCAATACCAAAAATCCAGAGGACTTAAAATCCATGTGAATAAAAATGTATCAATGCCTTTAATTTCCTTAGCAAGATAGCGTTCGTTCCACAGACTGAGGATCGTGGCTAAGTCGACATCGAATTGCATGTTGATCAAGAATATATGTACTTTTAAGGGTCGAAATTGGATATTCGAGTACGTTCCACGCTATGGTGGAGGGTATAAAGAGGAACGGCATGCACTGAAAACTATGGCAGATCGTACTTTAAATGTTATTCTGCATTCCCATTAAAGTTTTTCAAGGTTTCATGTCTACCTTCCGAGGTCTCTAATCAGCGGTTAACCATAAACATGCTGATAGAGAAAATAACTATATATGCATCAATGCATAGGTATATTTACCCCTATATTCTCTTATATATACAAATATGTGAATGTATATGTGCGTGGATTGCGTCTGTGATTCGTTGTCAAATATGTACGTAAGATAGTGTGCAAACATTTTTATTTGTTTTTTTTTTTTTTTTTTTGCTCCCGCGTTCCCCCTCCATTACACAACACAAACTTCATTCAATATATTTACACAACTCGTTGGAAAGGCAACCACACCCCACCGTTCAGCCTGCGTTGTGAATGCGTAACAAATGTCATGTCAATATCGCCGGAGCCCCAAAGTTATATGCGTTGGATGTTGACACAGATTTTATTGCCTGAAAATGACGAATTTCACTTGCCATTGACACCATCCTGCGGAGCTTCTGCGATACACCGCCGAGAGGCACTATCGAAAGAGAACGATATAAATTGGATAGATTTCAAATCACAACACAACAGTTACCTGATTTATTTCGATCAGCGAGCACATATTCCATTCACCCGGAAATCTCTGCAATTATCATCATGACTAATATTGGTTATTTTTCATTGGCCCTATTTTGGATGTCTCTGCTGCTGTGTCATGTGGCCACAGCGTTGCCAGCCCCGGACGAAGAGCAGTACTTTGATAAACAGGTAAGTGTGACATTAACACAAACGCCAGCACCCAAACTAATGAAGGCGCATCAATTCCATTAGCTGAACCGAGAATTGATAAATCGATGGCTTTCATCCATCCATAATGCCCAGATATTAAATAATAATCCATGCCGCTTCTATGGAGGGGACGGTACTTGGACCGCCCCATTGCCCAAACGAAACTCGGAACTAATCAATTCGTTGTTGAGTCTGCCCAAAGTATGAACGATGCCGGCAAATAGATTTCCTGCAGCATTAGAAAATGCCTATGGATAAGAAGAAGATAAAAGACTAAAAAATACCCCCCCACCCCCTCCTTAACAAAAATATATGTATGTATATTGAATATTGTTGTTGATGTATTAGTTCAATGAAGTGAAAATAAATAGTAGATATTCTGTTCCCTTTTATGTGTTTTCACGCAGAATAATAAATTATAAGGTAGAAAAATAATTCGTAGCGGCCCTCCCACCGTTTTTATTGGATATGTTCAATGCGAATAAAAAGGGCTGCTGCATTTGCTTTTCACTGGCAAAGGGTGTTGGGGGTTCCGCAGGAGAACACAAATTGTTATGCCTTAACAGAACAACATTTCTAAAAGTTCAATAAACACTTCTACAACTTCCTGGAATATATGAAGGAAATAAATAAATTTGGCATCACAAATATATTCCAGAATAACTAGTAAGTTCCCAATTGTAGGACTGGGAAATGTTTCTCTCAATGTTCAACTGAGACATAACTTAGTTGCATTCACGTTGCAATAAATTACATGGCATGCCATTGAGTTTACCTGAATAAAATTCTTTCTTATGTCACCCGTGTACTGAGAAGACATATACACTGTTTTATATACGTATGTATTGTTTTAAATAATATAAACATTATGGATTTAAAAAATGATACATTTGGAAGAATTTGATAATTTTTTTAATAATGTTTATTGTTTTTTTTTTCATGAAGATATAAATTTTGCAAATTTGGATAATATGGCCATACAGAACATATATCCATTGTTAGGAAAATGACTATTATTTACTTCAAACACAAAGAAATGCACTCGCATACTATTATCGCAAAATTAGATTTCCAATAAAAAAAATCAAGTGATTTATAAAGAGGAATTAAAATTAAAATTTCTGGTTATTTTATAAAATATTTTAGAGTGAATATTGCTAAAAATCTACAGGATGTGATGAAACAACTGCAACCAAATTCAGACTGCTGTCATTTCCACGCCACTCGTCCGACAACTGTTAAAATTAGTCCAGTGACAGCTCATTATATTTTTTCCAAACGTACAAAAGCATTTTGGTAAGAATTTTCCAGAAAAAAATAATTCGTGATGGAATTCAAGCGTAATAGTGTGATTTCTTTATATCTGGTTGGAAAACCACAACTGGCTATCGTTAGAGCACTCCAGCATTTAAATGTGAATAAATCTTTTGTGTCTCGTAACATCGTTCGTTACCGAGATAACGAGGACGGTAGAAAACAGTAACATCAGCAGAAATGGTTCGAAAAGTAAAGAAGCGACTTGATCGAAACCCGCGTCGCAGTGACCGAAAAATGGCTCGTGAGCTGAACATATCGCAATATTCCATTCGGCAAATATTGAAAAATGAGCTCGGGGTAAAACCATTGAAATTCACCGCAACAGAAAGAAAATAGACTCAAAAGAGCTGAAGAGTTGCTTCGCTCGCCCGAAAGTGGTGAACTGCCGAATTTGGGTTTTTTTCCGATTAGAAAACATTTGTTGTCCAGCAGTTTGTAAACAAACAAAATGACAGTGCGTACTTGCCTAAGAGGTCAACTGAAAATTAACTCAACTCAGGCAATGGTCGCTCTCCGCTCGTATTAATCGACCGTAGCAACAGAATAAATGCCGAATATTATCGCGAAAATATTCTGGAGGGTGCAAATATTTTGGAAGCAGACCTTGGACATTTCAACAGGATTCAGCACCATCGCACTCAGAACGCGCCACCCAAGAATGGTTACAAAATGAGGTTCCTCGCTTCATTTCCAGCACACAATGGCCACCAAAATCTCCGGATACCAAGGAATATTTTGGAATTCTCTAATATTTTGGAAAGCAAGGTTGGCATTAAGAAATACCAAAGTGTCGATAACCTCAAGCAAGCGCTTTGCCGGGAATTGGCCAAAATAACGAAGAGCAACATTCGGGCAGCGTGTGACGGTTTAATTGGCCGTTTGAAGGCCATAATTCGTGCCAAAGGCGACCAATTCGAACAAATCTAAACTTATTCTAAAATGTGATGATATTTCCGATATTTTTTGCTTTCATTCAATATAATTAAAAAAAATATATAACAATTATGGCGTTTGACTTTGTTGCAGTTTTATTATCTCACCCGGTATATCTATAAAAGAGGAAAATGTTTGTAACTTAGGGACCGTTGCACAGATTTTCCTTTAAACTTCCAAGTATACTACAACATCGTCTAAAAGTAACATAGGCTATATACATTCTTGAAATTCCACTTGGAACTTTATATCGGAAGTAACTCCCAAGATATAGATTTTTATATGCACTTATCTCTTGATTGATTACAGATACACTCTCCAAATATGGAAAGCGTAAAGGAATTTGATCAGAAAATATATTTGCCAAATTATATTGAAATCGGTTCTGATTGGATATAGCTCTCATATATATATTCGACCGATTTCGTTTATTTCACGCACCAAACACGATAAGTGTTTTCGATTCCAATGAAATTTGGAATGTGTGACGGTATTTCATCAGAAAATAAATTTGTCAAATTGAAATCGGTTCAGAGTTCGTTCTGAAGCTAAAGCGATTTTTACAGATGGGCGGACATCGCTAAATCGACAAATGCTGCTCAAGAATATATACTTTGTGGGGTCTAAACGGAATAACAAACTTAATATACCTTCCATACTATCGCGGAAGATATAAAAAGTATCAACATTTCAAAATCATTTCCATTTTTGAACAACAAAAATTGTCCTGAAATGTCGCTTTTTCTTTGAATCATGTATTATTGATATGATATGACAGTTGAAAAGCTAGAAAGAAATCCTGGCCACTGGTGTGTAAATGTATTCACTCTAAACTGGCTTAAAGGCATTGCGTTGTTTTTATTAAAATTTTATAGATCACACAACGACCAGCAGAAGCTATTCTATTGACTCTTTGAGAATCTTGAAGTGTTGCAAGGTATTCAATAAGGCTATTATCGCCCACTTAATCAGCAGATAATAAAATTTGTTAATTAAAAATTCGTATTGTGAGGTGTTTGTTCTTTGAACTTTACAAATACATACACTCACACACATACACATATTCGGTTGTATCTCACGCCCACAGTACTCACTTCTTCTTGGGTTTCATTGAAATAAAAAAAACCCTAAAGCACTCTGCCATTCGAATACAGAAATAAAGTATTAAAAATGACATTGTGAATCTACGGAGTGGATACGAATATTGATCCGCTCTTGTAAAGTTCTTATTTTCACTACCCCCACTTGGCATCACCGTTTGCGGATTGCTTCAGCGCAAACACACACACACACTCATACACCACAAAATGTGCAATTACCAATCAATGGAACTTCATGCAAGTTTTAACCAGATTCTGTGGTCGCCCCCGAGCCAATTAGTCACACGACTTGCTTCGTGATGACACTCAACTAACTTTGTTAATTAAATTAATTTTCCCTGTTGCCAATCTGGCATTCGAAGTCAAAGCGACAGGATAAAATTGCGACGGTAATCAAAGTCAACGTGTGTTCACCGAAGATGTCAGCAACGATCGGAATGCGGTGATTATGCAAATCATTATCTTGGAGGCGTTGTGCATTTTCATTGCAGAGCGACCTAAGTAAAAGTGAAAATCAAATGAACTAGAAAATATGTCGAAGTTAAATCTTGAAAATAGTAAGAAAACGCTGCAGGGCAAAATAAAGCAAACTTTTGATAACACTGCTCAACAATGTTGGGGTTATAGTTTTGGGGGTGGTGGGAAATTCTAAGGCCAATAAAGCAAAACTGTAACTGGAAATCTTTAATTTCTGTTCGGCTTAAGAGTGTTATTTGGATGTTACATTTTTACTTGCGTTTATTTGAAGTTCAAGTAAAAGTACCAACCGAGGTTATGTTAAAACAAGTAAGCAAAGGCTATAGTCGTGAGGGACCGACCATGTGATACCCTACAACACTACAACATGTTAAAAGCCCTCTTATGTCCAAATACATTTTAAAAGATTTCGCTTTCGAAATTATGTCACGGTGCACTGCCCAGATACTACCCTTTGCATTTTGACCAGGGACATTTTCCCAATATTTATCGTGCTGTTAGTTGTTGTGGTCCATTTTACAGCTAAATATAATCCAGTGGTCATCCAAAATACTAGAATTCTTCCCTGTCCTTAACGCTCTTCTCAGGCGTGTCGAATGGCTTCATTTGTGTGATCAGGAATTTTTTTCTGTTTTTGGTTTATTTAAACCCATAATATTTTGCGATCATATCCAAAAGCAAGAGGCCTCTCTGTATCTCCAAATTTAGACTCATCTATATGATTTCCTTGTCTACGATAAAAAATAGGCCTAGCCCTTCTGAGCCTAACCCTACCCTTTTCGTGAGGATCGGACGATAATTGCAATCTGCATATAATATCCCCAACCTGTGTTGTAAGTTGAAAAAATATTACAAAATATACAATTCAATATTATAAGTCAAATTAAAAAAAATCGCATGCGATAAAAAAATAAAAATATGTCACAAAATACTAAAAAATCAATATTTACATCATAGGTGTATTTTTATGCGATTATTTATTTATTATTATTTATTTTTTTTTTTTTTTTTTTGGATTTTATACTTTTATGCCAAGAGGGCATTCTGAATGGACAACATTTGTCAAAATCGGCCCAGCCATTCTTGAGATATAATTGTATATATTTCACTATATATATCCGATATATTTATTATTGGCAACTACGTAACGGTCAGAATTGACCATTTCGTCTATTTTTGATTTTGACGGGATTAAAAATATTCGCGACTTTTATTAAACACAAATATTATGGTCAATTTCTCCCACTAAATATTACCCAATGACAGTCAAAATTGGAAGGCTTCTGCCCAGCCCCAAGCCCTAGCGCCATGCTAACTCCTGCTTCGATTGGTCTATAACTGCGACCTGTAGAGCAACTGCAAAATCAGGAAATTTTTCAGTTGTTGGTCCATTTCAACCCCTAATTATTATGCGATCATCTCCAAAAACAATAGGGTTCTATTCTGACCCTACCCCCACCTCCATTTTCAATTTCGTGAGGATTGGGCCATAATTGCGACCTGTAGAGTGATTACAAATTAACATGTCTGTCCATGGACAGACGGACGGACATACATAGCTACGAGTCGACGTAGAGATAGGAAGACTATATATATACTTTCCTATGTGGGAAACCAATATTTCGAGGTGTTACATAATTTTTGGCCCAATCAAACTTATAAAACCCCCAACACATATAAGGTTCGTCTTTCCGTATGTAACACCTCAAAATATACATTTCAGTCCCCACAAAGTACATATGTTCTTGATCAGCATAAAATGCTATGTCGATTTAGCGATGTACATCAGTCTGTGGAAATCACTCTAGCTTCCGAACGAAATGAAGTATATTGATAAAAATTTATTGGAATGTATATTATGTCGGCAGGACTTTTGGTATTGGAAATGGACCATGTAGGTCCACGTTTTGGTATACCCCATATAATGGTACCTCCCTCTTTTGGTAATTTAAGCGACATTATTAACGGAAATGTTTCAAATTTGGTATTTGAAGTTGGTAATTCAAGTCCACGCCTTCGTATAACCACCACACAGCGGTACCTGAAGATATTTGATATTTGGATAATTTTAGCCATTATTCACCGATTTGTTTAAAGTTTCGCATTTGAATATTGAAATGGCTTATGACAAAAGCTTCTTTATTTGCTTTTTTTCTACAAAACGAAGATAGTGTTTTTATTCGTTTGATTCACTTAACGATGTGCCCAATGATCTACCCTTTCATTCCTTGAAAGTAAAAACCAGAAAACAGATAAAAATATTAACGCTGACTGAAACAAAATATTATTGCAACACCAATTGAAGTATTGCCCGGCGTCAGATTTTAATTCCCGTTTTGCAACATTTTTCCTTAGGCGATCAATTTAACTTAAGCAAATGCAATAAATTTATTATGTAAAATAAAAAAAGTATATGCTTTATTGAAAATTGAAATTTATGAAATTAACTATGGCATTCGAAATAATTTTTTGTTCAAGGGTGTCATACCCTATTTTCGGGAAGATAATATTCAAGTTGAATCCAATCAATGAAATTCTTTGTAAATTACAATTTTTATATTTATATTTCCTTCTTAATTATAATAAAACTACTACGATTTGTTATTTACATACATATGAGTCAATGTGCGGTCCAATCATTCACCTGAAAAGATACAAAAAATTATATAGTTTTTGGAATGCTCAAGATTATTATTCGCATATACAAATAGAGATATTTTTAATATTTGATGCATATTATTTCATATATGTTAGGATTATTTAAGGTATGTAAATAAAACTGTGGGATGGAAGGCAAAGAATGACATATATGCCGTTAGTCGAACCTCTAAGATATACAGGGTGAGATTAAAAAAACTGCAAAAAAGTCAAACGCCATAATTTTTACTTTTTTAAATTTGGTATTTATTAGTGCCAAACTTGCTCTTCAATGTACTCCAGACACAATAGTCCAACCATCGGTTGTTATGGCGGCCTACACCATCACCATGGCCGGTGCTTGAGTTCTGGTGGCCACATTCTCAGCTGACCTCTTTGGGAAGTAAACACGATCATTTTGTTTGTTTGTAAACTGCTCGACAACGAATGTTTTCTCATCGGAGAAAACCAAATTCGGCAGTTCACCATTTCGGCCAAGTGAAGCAACTCTTTAGCTCTTTTGAGTATATTTTCTTTCTGTTGCGGTGTTCTTGCACTTTTTATGCCCTACACCACAAGGTGGTCAAGGTATTATGTCTTTGTGCATTTGTTCGTAACAGGCAAAAGGAAACGAGATAGACCCATAGTTCCTTTTGATGATCTGCATAGAATCACATTCTGAGTCGATTTATGCATGTCCGTCCGTCCGTCTGTCCGTCCGTCCGTCTGTCCATGTATTTTTGTAAACAAAGTACAGGTCGCATTTATTGCCCGATCCAGATGAAATTTTGCACAGATCCTTTGTTTGGCCCAAGGACGAACCCTATTGAAATTGGAAATAATCGGTCAAAATTTAGATATAGCTCCCATATATATCTTCGTCCGATTTGCGTTTTATTGTGCACCAAACGTGTAATATCAGCCCGAATTGTATGGAATTTTGCATATACACCCAAATTAGGTCTGAAAATATGTATGCCAAATTTGATTGAAACCGGTTCAGATATAGCCATAGCTCCCATATATATTGTTCATCCGATTTGTTATTTTTGTCCACAGCCGCCGTAATATGCACTCTGCAACAACAATATTTGGGGAAATATATCAAATGCAGCTCAGAAATACATTTGCTAAATTTTATCGGGATCGGTTCAGATTTGGATATAGCTCCCATATATAACTTCGTCCGATTTACCTTTTATTGTGCACCAAACGTCTAATATTTGTCCAAATGGGATGGAATTTGGCACTTACGACCGAATCGGGTCTAGAAGGTAGTATGTCAAATTTGGTGAAGATCGGTTCAGATGTAGCTATAGCTCCCATATATATTGTTCATCCGATTTGTCATATTTGTTACCCACAGCCGTAGTATGCACTCCGTAACAACAATATTCAGGGAAATATATCAAATACAGCTCAGAAATATCTTTGCCAAATTTTATCGAGATCGGTTCAGATTTGGATATAGCTCCCATATATATCTTTATCCGATTTCAAATTAATTGTGCACCAAATGGGCAATACAAGTCCGAATTTAAAAAATACAAATGCTTCGGCATATTTAGTCCTTTGAACTTTAAATTATAATTATAATCATAGCGTGTATGTTTGAATTCTCCCATAAAAACTTTTATTTGTTATGTGGAGCTCTACTAAATTAGCAAAGTGGTGTAGGGTATCATAAAGTCGGCCCCGCCCGACTTTAAGGCTTTCTTTACTGGTTTAATATTTGTATTTGCCATTACAATATTTAAATTCGAAACTTGAAATAAAACAAGTAAAAAAGCAATTAAGTTCGGCTGGGCCGAACTTTTAATACCCTCCAACATTTCGAAGGAACTTGAAAATTTTCAAAAAAAATCCGAAAACTACCACTTAAATGAAGAAGACTTGGACCTGCATACAAAAATTGTTGTCATAGGCTGTAGTACCCATTACGAACTTCAAATACGAAATTTGAAATAATTCCAGTAAATAATGTCGCTAAAATCATGAAAATACCGAATATCGGGAGGTAGCGTTATATTTGGGGCTATACGATAACGTGGACCGACATAACCCACTTAAGTTAACCTGCCTACTGGTAAACTATGCCAGTATGCTATATAATTTTAGCCTTCTATCTCAATTCGTTCGAAAGACGGACTGTTGATTACAACCGACGGACATCGCTAGATCGTCTTATAATTTTACGCTGCTTCAGAATATATATACTTTGTAGGGTCTATTATGAATATTTCGAGGAGTTACAAACGGAATGACAAAGTTTATATATCCTCCATAGAATGGTGGAGGGTATAAAAAAATCGGTGAATAATGTAGCTAAAATCATCAATATAGAGAGTTACTATTATATGGGGGCTGTACCAAAATGTGGACCGCCACAGAAATTTTTCTGCCATAGGCTGTCTGTACTTTGTGGGGCTAAAATGTATATTTCGAGGTGTTACAAACGGATTGACAAACTTAATATACCCTCCATACTATGGAAGAGGGTATAAAAATAAACAAAACACATAAATAGTTGAAGATTGTGGTAGAAACCTTCCAAAAAAAACCAAAATCGGGAGTTACCGTTATATAGTGTCTACACACATATCCACATATCCATTTTTAGTTACCTGCCTGCACATAATATAAACCTTTGTGCCAAATTCCAAAGCTTTGGGTTATATAATGTGGACTCTATATTGATTTCAACAGACAGGACGGAAATCGCTAAATCTACTTAAAATTGTATGCTGATGAAAGATGTATATATTTTTGGGGTCTCCGACAAATATTTCGAGGTGTTCCAAACAGAATGACAAATTTAGCATACCCTCCATTGTATGGTGGAGGGTATAAAAATGTTGAACCTTTATCGAGAGGCCCCCCTTATGGAGTGGAAGTTTTTGAAAAACAATAGAGTATTTAAAAATATCACTTTACAAAAACATGCACGTAGAACCCTCAACCTATATTATTTGCAGCATTGTGTGCCCCATTGCTTATTGAACATGTAGTATTGCATTAATTGACCTCCGATTTGTCATTGGAGGTCTTAAATCGAACTGATTAGAGGAAGCAAACATGTTACGAACGAACTAAAAGAGGTTCGTCGCAACGTTGCATCTCTTTTAAATCTATCGTAAGTAAGCCGAAATGAGGTGGGATTTGATTGGCAAGTCTCGAATATCAAAGTATAACGCAGCAACTTTTGTCGATTGAAAATTTGTTTCAATGTATTTTCTTATTGTAACAGAAACAACACAAACAAATGTAATTTTTAAAAGGTGAACAATGTGTACACATTTTTAAAATGATACTAAATAGGGTCTCCGGTTACAATACAACGACAATCGCATAACCATGATCAGCCGAAGTTGACAAAGCTTGCCAAAACTATTCGCAGTCTACAACTTCCATTCAAATGTCACTGCGAATGGCCAACACCAAAGCAAGGTCAACTTAAAGTTTTGGCTGGTCCGTTCAAAAGCTGATAAAACATTTTTTCATCAGATTAAGGATTGGAAGTGACGATCCCTTTTATGCAAAAAAAATCTCTAATCCCATTTTTCTTGGATTCAATTATCGATTCTGGCATGTTTTAAAAACCCCGTATCTTGTCTGAACTAATAACTTGACTAAAAACGATACCTAAAGTTAGGAAATGGCCTCAGTGAAAAAAGTCTACTCATATAAGTACATGCAGAAAACATATCTTTATAACAAAAAGTTAGACACCGAAGGACCCTATGCCGCTCCTATGGTTTTTTGATTCCCGATTTCTTCACATTGTTTTGTATATTAAAAATTTCATCGTTCTCTTCTTTCACTTGTCGTTTTACCCAATTACAGATAAAAGTTTGCAATTTCAGTCCGCTACTCGAAAACATTCCAACATTTCATATGCATAAAAATGTAAAAAATATGTCGACAGAAATGTCAACAAAGTAAATTTTATTCAATTCGAAATGCCATCGAGTCAATGGGCTATGCATGAATGGATTGCGGTGAACTCGGTGGCAAAATATTTATTATATGTCCTCTCAACTGGCTGTGGGTGTGTTGTGGTTGTATATGTATGTACACTTGTGTCATCCGATCGCCGCACATACACATATTCTGAACAACTTGGAAACCAAAATATTTTCGTTAACATTTCAAAGAGAAACAAAGTTTTTATTGAAACAAATTGGCCGGAAAACAAAGGACAAAAGCGTAAAATTGATGCTAGCTATAAATGTTGGAATTGACAATGGCAACGACATACAAACATTCATTTGCTATGAGTGTGTATTATTAAATATATGGTCAAAGTTGCCATATGAGTATGTGTTGTGGTTTTTACACGTTAAGCAGACGTTATGTTTTATACAAGGGGCACCGATGCATACTTTCGGATATAAAATATCGCACGTCAAAATTAAATTTGAAGTTACTCAAAATTGCCACAAAACCGAATTGAGTTTACATTTACAAACATACCTCGTGTGTAAAAAACCTTATACGGAATCAAGGATCAACATTTCATACCCTCCACCATACATAGTATGGAGGGTATATTAAGTTCATCAGTCCATTTGTAACTAATCGAAATAATAATTTTAGACCCAACAACGTATATATATATTCTTGATCGGCGTAAAATTCTAAGACGATTTAGCCCTATCCGTCCGTCCGTCTGTCCGTCTGTTTTAATCCCGCTACAGTCAAAACGAATTGAGATAGGAAGCTACAATTTAGCACAGATCTGTCTATTGTCTGCAGGCAGGTCAAGTTCAACAATGGGCTATATAAGTTGCAGAAATATGCCAATTAAAAAATTTCCTTTTACCTACAGAAATTCTTCATTTTACTGTTATAAAAATAGTTTTGGTTTGGTTTGATTGCCATGAAAACATTTACAACAATTAACCGCAAACTGTGAGAATTGTTGATGTTTCCATGGTTTTATTTCTCTCCAGAGAAGTGAGCTGCCGGTATGAAAACAAGGGCGTAATTGTAAACATGAAGAAAACA